TCAAAAAGAGCGGAACCTTTATCAAAAGTGATTGAATATCCAGCGACCTCATGGCAGCTCGTTAACGTCCATGTCTCGAACAAAATCGTCCAATTTGAAGGTATCTTCACAACATGTTGGCAGATTTTCATCCTCGACGGTTACAGGGTTTTTATTAACCGACGAGCAATGGAGCGAAATGTAGAGTTTGAAATATCTAACTGGGTACTAATAACATTACTGTTTTATGAACATTTGGCAAGTCACATAGTCCGAGTATGAGTACCAATTGGGTTCAGGAGTTCGTAGTCAGATAGCACCCTGTAACTTTGATCTTTCAACATTTTTAGATATTTACTGTATTGTCCTTTCCTTGGTGTTTGATGCATATTTCCCTTTTTCGTCCCTTGTGAAATTGTTTCTGTTGTGAGGAATTGTCATCATTTTCTCAACGTATTCCTTACGATCGAATAATAGTAATCGTGGTTACTGTACGGTGCGCCAACTCGCCTAGGGCATTCGCGTGTTTTTTGAATGAATAGGCATCCACATGATACCTTCGCGCCGTGCTGCTGAAAGCAGATAAGCGCTTTAAAATTGTCGACTACTTTCAGTGTTACTGCGACTAAACTTTCTCACTGTGAATTGAAATTCTGTGGAAAGCTGATGATCTCTGGATATTGCTCATTCGAAATTTCCAGAACTGACATTCGTCCCCCTTCCCTTCTTGTGCTCCAACAAAAGTTGACAGATGTTGCTGTTCTTTCTCATTTAACCTTGTTGAACTAATCACGCGTATTTCTACCTCATATCAACGCAACCGCAAATATCTGAATATTACGTTACGAAAACAAACTTATTCGTTTTACCGAGTGAATAACTGAAAGAGTTTACAACTTTAAAGAATAATGCAATTCTGTACTTACGATCTGTATAAATAATTACGCTTTCACTTGGATCTGACTAATTCGTGAGTGAGCGAAATGCAACTCTTTATGATTTCGGTTCTCTGCTGTTTATCCTTGGCGGTCTGTGACAAGTTCCGTATGGACTTAAGTCCGATTTATATCCGATTAAACTAACCCATAAATTCTGAGAAGGTATAATCGCACTTTATCTTCACTGATCATTCCAACCTAGTCTTAAGACGATCGTCAGACACCAGCACGAATCTGGAAGTAAGTTGGACAGAGGAGGTTATTTGACCACTGAGTCCAAAGATCTTCGCGAAACAAGGTGGAATAGTTGAAAGCGGCCGCACAGTAGAACAGAAAATAACTCTTTGGTGAGATAATACTAGCTTCGAGCATGTACATTGCAATTTAGTTCTTGTTACTGCAATTTCAGAATATAGCGCAGGAAATGATGGTTAACCAAAACTAGATTTTCACATATCATGAGTGACCTGCAAAGCGGGTCCGGACCGGAGCCCTCATCGTTTTAGCAGCTATTTTCATAGAAGTGATTCCTCGCTGGTTCTGGGATTTCCATGTTTCATCTCTCCAATGGAGAAGAACTGAAATAATCATCGACTGTCTGTTCCTACAGTTCGTGCACCCTATGATTCACAGCTAGTGCGTGAACTAAGAGCGCATCAAAGTGATGGGAGAAATGGGATCGAATCAAACGAGCAATGCACACCGCAGCAAATGTTGCTTGTGGATCTGAGCCTCAAGCCTGAAGAACACATTGGATATCTGATAAGTCTGTGGCACTGATGGATCAAAAGAGAAAAATCCCTACCTGCCAGGACCAAAACAGGGTTAGGTGGCATCTGCAACGTCAGCCTCAAAAGGACCGTGAAAACTGGTGGGCCACGATAGCTGGTGAAATGGAAGAAGCAACTGCATCAAGGAATAGTCAAAGATTGTTCCTACTGATATGCAATACCGGGGATCGGAGAATTGCAGTTAGTGAAACAGTGTGCGATAAGACGGGACAAGCTATTCACAATAGGGATGAACAGCTTGATCGCTGGACGGAATAACTCAGTGAACAGTTCAGTTGGTCTGCCGCTAGCCAGACAGAAGCACAAGTTTGGTCTTACATTCAAGCTCTGAAGCGAGGAAAGGTAGCAGGATCAGATGAGCTCCCTCCCAATTCAGGATGGGGGTGATAACCTCGTAAACTCCATTACTACCGTACTGCGTAATATTTGAACGCAAGAGCGCATTCCTTCACCTTGGGGCGAAGAACGGATCGTTCCCACTTTCAAGAAAAGATCTCGCAGCGATTGCGAAAATTACCGCGAGACAAGATTGATCCCGATCGTCACCAAATTGGTAGTCTCGATCATCGACGAGATCGACGTCTGATTCCTTTAACAGAGGTCAACATCCGTAAACAGCAAACCGGATTCCGGCCTGGCTGTGGATATATTGATCATTTTTTTACGTTGAGTCAAGTCCTCCAGCTGCATTACAAACAGTGTCGACCAACGATCGCAGTGTTTCTTGACCTGAAAGGAGCGTTCAGCTCAGTTGATTGCAAAGCTTTAATGAGTTCCCTTTTGCGAAAACGAGTGCCCCAGCAATGCGTTAACTTACTGATTTCACTGTACTCACATATCTCTAGTTGAAGGAGGGTTTACAACGAACTAAGTAGACCGTTTGTCACCAGCAGCTGTATTCATCACAGTGCTCTCTTTCACCATTCCTGTTCAATTTTGTCGTAGACGAAATACTGGAGAACGCACTAAATGGTCTCCAAACCTTAGGTATTGAATGCGCAGCCGGAGAAAAGCTGTGCCATTTGGAGTACGCCGATGACATCGTCTGATTGTTCGAATGCACACACTTCATGGACTGAAAAATGAGGTTGACACATTCGGTATGTGCTTGGTATCTTTGAAAAGCAAAGTGATGCTGCAGGGCTGGGTACCACCTACTCCCGTTCCTAAAATAAATGATTAGGAATTAATTATAGTGGATTAATTTCTGTCCTTGGGTAGTTGCTTGACCAATGACGGTAGCGCAGCAAAGGAGCTAACCACTCGCATTTTCGAGGCTCGAGCGGCATACACAGGACTGAAACACCTTTGGCGTAGACGTGACGTTTCACTGAAGTTGAAAGATTGTGTATATTGTGCTACTGTTCGTTTAATCCTGCTTCATGATTGTGAGACCTTGAATTTGCGAGTAGAAAATATCCATCGATTAGACGTTTTCGACAATCTGTGTTTACGTAGTTTAACCTGCGTGTGATGGAGCGAACGGGTTCGTAATCTGGAGGTACGTCGTTGTGTATTTCGAAGTCTATCAGGGATAAACCTCCTAGCACACCAAATTAGGATTAGTAGGCTTCGAAGTCTGGGACACTTATTACATATGCCCAGCTGTCGTCTGCCGCACCGCGCTTTATTCACCGGAGCCGTTCCGGGCTGGAAGAAACCACGTTGAGGTCAACGAATGACTTGGAGACGAGGCATGAAGAAATGCACAGAGTGATTAGGTAGAGGTAGGTGTCTCTCGTCTTCCAGGTTGGGGGCCGAAAGACTCCGCAACTGGTTGGTTGGAGACAATAAAGGATATAACAGCTAACCGACAGCAGTGGCGTTCTTGTTCTCATTTCTTATCAGACCAGAATGTCTCAAACGATATCAATGCAGGGTTCGATTGTGCACTCTATGTGTTGACCATAAAGGTTCACTTTCGTCTCCCTCCGTTAAAGTAGGTCCAGTCACTGTCCACCTTAAAATTAACCACTAACCTTGTATGAATTGCGAGTATGTCTATCGCGCGCCTATTATCACATCAACATCATTGATCGTCTTGTATACTTCGCCACTGCACGACCAGTTTTACTTTGAATTTGCGGGTAGAAACATCAGTAACTTAGATGTAAGTCATCGGGTGTTTGGGGATGCATCGAACAGGAACGAACTCGCTATCGCATCGAATCCAGCTCAATAGGCTCCGTTGGTTAAGAAACGTTTTGCGTATGTCCGACGGTCGCCTACTGCAGCGCGCATTATTCGCAGTGGCTGTTGCAGACTGGATAAAGTCACCCAGAGGCAAGCAGATGACGTGAAGAAGAGGCATGAAGGAATGCCTAGAGCGATTAGGTAGAGTAGTGTCTATCGTTTTGTGGGTTGAGGTCCAAAAGGCTCTATAACCAGATGGTTGGAGACACTGAAGGCCATGGCAGCAAACCGACAGCAGTAGTGATCTTGCTGTCATTTCTTATCAGTCCATACTGCTTGAAATAGTGTGCATGCACAGTTGGACTGTGTACTCTGTTGATCATAGAAGTTTGCTTTCTTTTCCCGTCCCTAAAAGTCGGCCCAATCCCTATTCTGCTTACACATTCTCACTAACCTTGTACGCATTATGAGTTTGGCGGCTATCAGTGAAGTTCGCTTCACTGTATTACACTGTTGGATAAAGATGATGAAGATGATGTAACTGCTAAAAGTTACTGCCAATTTCTGGCTCCATGTTCTTCTATGGATCTTAGGACTACGAGAATTGAACTTTATGTCTATGGCAAAGTTGTATGTCTTAACATCAGTCAGTATTCACATAGGTAATCTGTTTGATGGAGGGACTAGCTTTTTACCCTCGAATGTGATGCAAAGTAATTTTTCCTTCATACTTTATTTTATTCCAGTTCGTCTTGTACCGTATTGTCGAAACCTGGGGATGTAACATTACCGGTAGAATCAAAGATTACACTTCTAATTTGGGAGTTTTATTTTTCAAAAGTTTATAATTTTGCCTTAAGATATTTTAGCAGTGTTATCTAAAGTTGCCTCAGTGGGATAGAACTTTGTCGTTTTTTCAACAAGGAGAAGATACTCTCTCGATTCATCACTTTCACATAATATTTTCAGATAGTTCAATTAGAGGAGGAATATAAACGTTACTGGAAACTTTACAAGAGTGAGTTCTCTAACTATCTTGCTTTTCCTATCATATCGTAATTTTCTTGCTCATGGTTTTCGTACATCGAGTCCTTTCGGAAAGATTAGTTTGCATGTATGATCGGTAATTGATATTTTCGGTTTTATTATAGATATTCAAATGGCAAGTTCTCACCTTGGCATACCGATCGAGAAAGAATCCAATTTACTACGTACTCGTGAACTGAGCAAGTCGGCACAGATACTCACAAAATCTAACACACTACCAGAATCTGAAAAGGCTCCCAGTACACCGGATTCTCGCGGGTCAGAGAACTTGACCAAGCAACCCTGGTATTCATCAATGATGAACCTAATGAGAACAAAATCAAAAAAGAAATTATATTCTCCGACGGATTCCGTGAATCCTAGTCCGAATTTAGACGAAAATGTTCCATGGGAGAAACGGCTATCTGGCGATTTTTATGCATCGGAATTCAAACAGAAGATTCTCACACCAAAGCGTCGTCGATCACGTGTAATTTATAGGAATCTGAAGCCGCGCGATTCGTTTCTCCATTCTCAACAAAGACAAGAGGAGTTCCTAAAGAAACAGCTCTGTGATATTGAAGCACAAATGGAATACCTCTCTGGGACAATGAAATTCGAAGTTGTTGGTGTTTCCGGTCCAAGTCAGTATCTTAACAAAGATGAGTTCAAAGTTAATCTGCGGCAAGGTTCACCTGTACTCCATTCACTTTACGAGTGTGATGGTGTTAAAAACGCCCTACTTCCACTGCACAAAACGACATTTATTGGCATGAATTCAGTTACAACTGATGATAAGTGGAGTTTGCATGGTCGTGTTGAATCTGGTTCTACGTTTATGCGCAGGCGTAAAGATTCACTTCAAATGGTTTTGGGGAAAGACGAATCTTATGTATTTCCCAAACAAATTTGGAACCATCCCGGGTACATCTTCAGTCCGACAATTCATGGGGTATTTACTTTAAAGGTAAGATCATTTGCTTTGTATATTCCTTCAGTTTTGCTGAAATACGTAAACTACTTTTATCCCAAAACTCTTCGAATAAAATTAAAAGAACATGAGTATGGTTATTTTTTTCTCCTAACGCTACTACGAACAGAATTGATCACTAGTGTTTGCCCATAATTTCCTATGGTAGTATGAACCCTCAGTGCAGTTTGTTATATTCTCAGATGTGTTTCAGTTTTTAACCATGCATCATCATGCGCCCGTTTTGGTTGCTCTCTTTTGACCGCCTAATTGGATAAAAGAGCAGAATGAAGCTTGGAATATTGAAAGCAAATTCAAGAGGAAAATAAATGGTTCATAGAGACTGGGGTTGCAAAAACAATGAGTAGACGCATGAGCGCAACTGTGTGCGATATACAGCCATATCACTCAGTGTCTCTAACCACCAGGTACCATGATCTCGGTGTCCGCATCCAGGGAACTTAACGGGACCTATGTGACCAAGTCTCCTGGTGAGCGTTTTCATACCCTCAAACCAAATCTTAGTTTGATCGCCCTTGATCTTTTCCCATCCACTACCTGCTTCGGCAAACATCGCTCGCCGTAGCAACCTATTTGGTGACAGGCGCAGCACATGTCCCAACTAGCGTAATCTATGGAGGTTGACCACTTGCTCCAGTGGACGACAGCGATTACCTAAATCTTCACGCCTAACCTCAGCATTGCTTGTCCGGTTTCCCCACCAAACTCGTAAAATATGATGAATACAACGGCGACGTTTCTGCGCTGTGCAGCAGAACTGGTCGAACTGCCTCAGCATACACTTGACTCTTCACGGACAGCCAGATGTCGCAATGAAGCCGCAGACGTCTCTAGTTGGTAAATGCCAATGGGGCCTTCTGTATGCGCGCCGACACTTCATCTGTGACGCGACCGCCAGGTGAGATATAGCTGCCCAGATAGCGAAATGTATCTTTTCCTCTATTACTGCCCCAGTCAGGGTGAGGTTAGGGGCTGGAACAACTCAATCTTGTAGAAACATTTTACACTTTGAAGATGCAAAACGCATACCGAACACGGCTATACTAGCACTCAAACTGGTCAGAAAAGCTCGCAACCTACCTGGATCTTCAATTAGTAGCACGCTGCCGTCTGTATACTCCCAATAGGAAACCTGGGAGTAAATTGATGCCGCTATTCGCGCACGAGGACAGGGCTGTTCCAAGAATTAGACCTAAGACTAAATTAAATAGAAAAGAAGAGAGGGAGAGCCACGCTGACAAACACCACTTTCTGTAGTGAAACTCGGGTGAACAAGTGCCGTAAGCTCGAACTCGGCTTCGGTTATAAAAGGATTGTAATACTTGAATAGACTCCTCGGGTACACCCTTCAGAGCGAGGCAGCGCCAGAGCTTAGAGCGTTCGACTGAGTCGAAAGACGCTTTCGGATCGATGAAGATAGAAATGGTGGGTGTGCGAAAGGAGTGTCTGTGTTCTAGAATTTGACGAAGAGTGAAGATGTGGTCTATAAACCTCGACTAGGTCCCAAACCAGCCTGACTCTCATGCATGCACCGTACATGTGCGGCAGCCAATCGACGAAGCATAATACCAACGATAATTTTAGAGACGATGTTGAATAAACTAAATCCCCTGTGATTTTCACAAGAAGACCTGTCGTCTTTCTGATAAATCAGTATGATCGTCGATTCGCACCATTTAGTTGGAACCTGTTCCCTCTCTCACGCAGCCCAGGAGTTTCGTTAACTCCAGAACTAAGGCTAAACCTCCATCCTTAAAAACTGATAGGGACAGGCCATCCGGGTCGGAAGCTTTATACCTTTTGGGATAGCTTATTTATTGGGTAACCTCCATTTCAGATGAAGGACTGATGTCAACTGGCAGCATTTGGATAGTAGAAGTATGCATACGGATGTCTTGTGTCGATGGGAGCCAGTTGAACTGTGCCTTAAGATTTTATGCCCAACGTTCAAGACGGCTTTGCTGAATACCAATTAGTGTGCCGTCACACTGCTTAATTACCTAAATTGCGCCTACTTTCCTTGGTGCTGTGCTCCTAATTAAACGAAAAAGATTGTGACTATTACCGATAACCTCAGTCTTCGCCATTTCCCTACACTTTCCCATCCACCACTTCTCGCGGTCATTCTCAGACTCTTGATGACCCGGCGTTTAATGGATTGGCGCGCTTTGCCTTATTTTGCAATAGACGGAATAGTTTTGCGAGCGTCCAACAGGACAACCAAGGTCGAGGAGATTCATCGTTTTTTATTTGATCGTGTGCTAGAATCCACCGTTGTTGTGATCGACATGTGGATTGCTTCTTTGATTGCCATCCGGTGTTCACTGAGTTCTTCGGTCGGTAGTTGGGCTGAAGGGCGATCAGATAGTTCCGCTTCGTAGGCTGATTTGCAACCATTTCTGACACTATTGTGGGCATCCGTTTCCGGTGGCTTTCCTGCGTTTGATTACTAGGCGTAGAGAGAATCTGGCTCGCAGCAGAGCGTGATCTGTGTCCACGGGTGTCGGGCAGTAAGAGCGGCATTCTTCCATGGATCCTCGCCAGTGGTGGCTGATGGCGATGTGGTCGATTTGAGTCCAGCGCTGTGAAGAGGTCGGCGGATTCCATGTAAGGCGGTGTCGTTTCTTGTAGGAGACGGTGGTGCTTGATGGGAACATTCCGTGGTCAGTGCATCGTTGGAATAGGCGTTCTCCGTTATCCGTTCAATTAGCTGCGATTGCGTGTGAACCACCAAGAAGTATTCGTCCAGGGATCCCACTTGAGCAATAAAATCTCCAGTGACTACCACGAGGTCCGTTGACCGCGCACTTAGGAACAGCTGAGAGGGGTTCCTGCAGAATTCATGCTTCATTTTTGGCGAACTGCAGTCAGTCGGTGCACACATCGATACGACGAATAAGCATCGACGGTAACTTCTGTAGCTGTTGACCCGTACTGAACCATCCAGACGTACATCGCAAAGTTGGCTACTAATCGGGATCCAGTGAAGAAGTGAACACTCGGCCTTAAGACTTAGCGCAACCCCGACATCAGTAACACCGCGAGCTTTGGATGCCAAATCGCCGGACACACGGAGTGTGAAGTGTGAAAATTAGATAGGATCTGTAGATCGAAAGATAATGATTGGCGGTGGTGACCAAGTGGTTGGGTCACCAAACTGTGACCCGGGAGTCCCGGGTGCGAACCGCTCCGCCGCCGCCCGTCTTCCCTATTTCTGTATCTTCCCAGACAGCCTTTGTATGGCCGCAGCCCCCTTCTTGAAAGTTAACTGTACATTTGTATATTCAATAAAAATAAAATAGGGAGTAAAAGAATACAAAACGAATGCAAAGAAGGTATGTGTGTTTTGTATACACAGCATACATCTAAATAAAAAGTTCCAACGGTTCTAGCTAAGGCAACTTCTGGCTGATCTGATAGAGTGTGAGGACATTAAATGCGGCTAAGTGTGAAGGGAAGTTTGGTTTCGAAAATCTGATAGCTTTTGATTGGTTGCGCTTATTAGTTGAACGCTGGGTTATATCCCATGGGTAGCGACAGCAGAAAGCTCCTCCTAACATTTGAGAGTGAGAAGAAGAACTGTATATATAAGAAATAAGCTTTTCCAAATTGGTGCCTAAGACTTTGGGGCACGCTATACTTCGCGGTAGCCCACACTAGTGAGGTGGTTTTCTTTAGGAACCCCCACAGAAGCCTTCGACATAAAGTCTGACCCATGTGGCAGTGTGTCGTACATCCAATGCGGGAGCATCCGTGTGAACGCTTGCAGATACCTGTCACGCAAGGCATTTGGGTTTGAGTTCAGAATGTTGTTCACTAGTGCGTTTTCTGACGGTCCGCTTTTCGGGATCGGCCCAATGAGACAGACGGAGTGTGGACGGGACAGCACTTTATTAGCTGAGGGCGGCTCAGCTTGAGTAGGTGGTAGTCGTCCAGTGAACTGAGAAGACCTATCTCACTGTCAGGAGGTATCCCCCTTTACCCCGCTCCTACGTCCATCAAGCGGTAGACTGCTCCTCCCTGTATTTATTTGCTGGAATGACCTTTCTAGGGGTTAGAGTGCAGAATCAAAGGAAACCAGGATGTGCTCAAGCAGCTGGCATGATTGCATCTGAGGCTGTGAGGAGCCATCCTGTATAGCTCTCAGGTTACTGGAGGAACGCAAGTCATCACACCACGTGAAGGTATAGTTTCGTCGCGAATCTTCCCGTATTAGAGGTAGGCACAGTGAATTCGGGCGTATGAGATCTGCTCTATAGTCCTCCAGGCAGTATGACCACAGTTCTTTATTTAAGCTCAGGTGGAGGAATCCCGAATGCTATGTGCAATTCGCTCCGTTTTTGAAAGTGTCAAGCAGCTTGATTCGACACTCCAGCGAATAGTCGAAGGAATATAAGAGTTCAGTTTCTTGGGAAGCCCTCGAATGAACTTAAAAGTGGTCAGCCAACAATCCATGAATAGAAGTGACATTTTCTGAAGGAAAATTTGTTCAAGGATCGCTTGGTTTTAATTTGAGCACAAGGCTTGAGGTAAGGCACAACTAAGTGCGACCACTAGGGCAGCGAGACGCAATCGATGACCAATTCAGCAATTCATTCAAGAGGTATGTGAGTAATCCAGAGAATCCAAGCTTCCCTTGTATTGACTCGTCGTGTGAAGACTACCAATGATAATAATAGAACAGTATGCGAGCAAACTAAATGTAAAAGGGGAAGTAGACGCACAAGTGCTGTTGTTTAAGGCATTGACATATCACTCAGTTTCAGTTTCAGTTTTACAACCATTAACCATGCACTTTCGTGCACCGGTTTTGGTTGCTGTCTTTTGGTTGCCCATTTGGATAAAATAGCGAAATGAAGATGGTAATGTCGAAGCAAATTCAAGCGGAAGATGGGGAATACATATAGAATGAGTTGGGGAATACATATAGAGTGTGTTAGGAAAATAACGAGCGGATGCACATCACTAAATGTGTTGAACCACTGATAAAGGTGTTCACGAAGTCCAGAAGTGAAACTTTAAATGCATTATCTATGATTAGGTCCTGTGGTTACAGAATTCAAAAGAATACCTACTTTAGAAGTGCGAATTGGTATAATAGTGATTTCGTTAATACAGAAAGAAGACAGGCATCGCGAGTTGTTAACATTTCCTGTAATCTTCTCATTCAATGACTTAAAACAAATTAGCTTGCGCGAACCCTATTTCATCGGGCGAAGAAAATCTGTTCTCCGAAAGGAAGAATAGGATTTCCCAAGGAGAGCATTGCTGAACGATGGTTATTGAGAAACGTTTATAAATATCCACAGGAGACCAATCCAAAAGGTAACCCCACCGAAAACGTCTGCAAAAAGGTCATCCACATAAAGCTTGCGTTCCAAGGTGACCACATTTACGATGATGTGCGCCATAAGTTGAGGTCAGCTCTAGACCGTTCATTCCCAGCTGCTCGAGTCAGACTCACTGTCCCTCCTAGTGGGATTGATTTCGAGAAACGTAAACATGGCTGACAAGTCGGTTGGGTCTAACACTTATACCAGTTCAACTGCAGTTGCGATGACGCATCTATGGGCAAAACAAACCACCAGCTCTCACAATGAATGGTGAACATATTCCAAAGTATATATATATATATCCAGACTGTTTAATAAACAAATCATGGTATAATAATCTTTATCAAAAAGAAAAAAACGTTGCATGATTTGCGTGTGGTCGGAATACTGCCAGGTTGCCCAGGCCAAGGCAGGTGAATTTTCTTGGGGAATCCACAACCAAAATGGTTGGAGCAATCGCTGATGCAACCGATGACTGACGGCCAAATAATCACAAGAAATTTATGGTCACCCGTTGCAAAAAATTTCATGACAACAAGACAATCAGTTACTCCCAATTCGTCTTTCAAACCACTAATACGTAATCGCCATGCTAAACTTCTGGCGATTAGTGAAGCGCTGCTTCTTACATCGCATCACCCGACCCTATGCAGTCAAAGGTTTTTGATACAATCAATCCACTTACCGTGGAGTTGACCATCTACTTCTATGTTTAGTAATCGTGTACAAGTTCGCTCACCATAATTCATCATTTTTTCATTTCACTTCCTTTAACTGAATATACAAAGATAATTTTCAGCAAGGGGGAAGAGGACAATCAAAGGGCTGTCATTCAACACACAACGGGGGAGGTCAGGCGGTGGTGGTGGGATTCGAGCATACATACCCGGGGGGTGATAATTTGGTGACGTTTCCACCGCGCCATCACCGCCCGTATGTTATATATATGGTATACATGTACGTTTTTCTTTTTTCAAGTCAGCGATTGAGAAGATTAAACGAAGTGTTAAACTCTCACGATATTTGTCTTTATTCCGTATCGATGAAATGGAAGGAGGGGACTCAATGCTTCAAATAATAGTGATTCTTGAGGCAGTGATTTTCTAAACTTCAGAAATTCAGATAATTGCGAAGCAAAAAGAACATTTCAGGTTACTGCAGAAAATGGACAAACGTCTTTACATTCTACCATGAAAAGTCCACTGTAATTAAATCAACTGTTGGTGGGTTTCTCTGATATGGAGAGATTCAACCAGTATATCATTGGCTGATTGGAACTAACAAATCTTAAAGAGATGACAGTATCAGGTAGATCTTTTTTTTATAATAGGATAAAATGAACAGATTCGTCTAATGACTTTTTCATATTTTTTGGACTGAATCAAATTCATCGTCGAAGTATAGATGGTATTGATGGGAGAACCAGAACTAAAATTAAAGGCTTCTCATGGTATCAACTAATCAGAGATTATGGGCAATATTCAATGGAGAAATACAAAAAATTAGATAGTGAACGGCGAAAAATCACGAAACATGTGATAGCTGAGGTTGATTGCGTTATAATATTATCATCAGGCTATAAAATTCCAATCTCTCCTCGAGTTGAGATTGGAATCAACTGAACGCGAAGTAAAATGTTAGAAGACGAGTAGCTATGGAAGAATTCTTAAATTGATCAAAACGAAATTTATGCTTTCACTGTCTCAACTTGTATTACCAGTGCGTATTTAGCAAAGCAATTTGTTGGAAAACGTCAGCAATGTAACAAGAATTGTGAGTTCCTGTCAAGCGATAGGTGAGTTAAAGATCGCATCTTCATTGTGGCAAATGTCTGGAACCAGCGTCACTCGGCACCTCTTATTCATTACGGGTGATTACAGTACTGGACCAATGGAGAAAGCGATTCTCAAATTAGGGTGGACCTGAAAGGTTAATAGGTTGATAGGAGCCGTGGTATACTCTAAAACCGTCATTGTATTGGCGGAGGCTGTCAATAAGTAAATACTTTTTTGTTTTCCTTCGCTAAACCGGAACAAGCATGCTCCACGGCGGTTCTTCAAAACATGAACAATCAACTGATACGAAGAGAACTACTCAGCTTACCTTTGTTTCGATCCAAATCTGGCCAGAGTGGACCAACGGTTTCTGAGTAATATTCAAGAAATATTCTTTGAAGAGCTCGAACATCCAACATCAGAGAGGGTGTGTTTACCGTTTTGTATTCTATTTCAAACTCATTCGAAATGTTCCCCCAAATCAGTGGATAGATGCACTGCCGAGTAGGTTGATATTTGAATCCATCACTAGCCCCGACTAAAGTTGCCACATATCGAATAGGTGCCGCTTGAGGATTATTTATCAAGTCTTGAACCACCAGCAAAATACGTTTCAACACGTTGATCTAAAATGAATAGCGTAGACGGTGAAAAAGGTTGCATCTTTGAAAACATCGCACGCGATACCTCCAGATACAATAAAATGAAGTGCAGGAATATAGCCCAGAAGTTACGAATGTAAGCACCGGAGACCTCGATGATTTTTCATTTTGACTTAGACCATCGACAGTGAAACACGCTTAAACTTACTCTTGATATATCGTTAACTGTAAAGAAACAATCATAATTACCGCTTAACCGTGTATTTTTACTAGAAACCAGGAACTTTAGATCTATGAGTTAACTACAAGGGAGTCAGTTGAAGAAAAATCTTGAAATCAGATTGGAAACATCAAGGAGTATACTTCATGTGCATTAAGAAGAACTGCACAGCCGTTCTAATCTGATTGGGTCTAATCAGTGGCGCAAATCCATCGACCCAAATGACGACCGAAACCGGGACCTCACAAGTAACCGGCAACCGGGGAACAGATCAGACCGCCTCTAAATCAACCAATGGCTGCGTGTTTGTTGCGAACATCGCACCTCTCTCACGTCATGCAAGAAAATATAATAATAACCTGCAATGACTTGGAAAAAACTGAAAACCTAAATTTTTCGTCAAAAGCTTAGACTCACCTGACCCAATAACGCAAGCGATATCCAATAGGAAGCCACTGGAGTCGCCACAAGATCGACTGAATCGATGCCCCCAAAAAGAACTCTCGATGAAATTGCTGCGTCTTTCGTCAAGGTTCTGCCAAGATCCACCAAAATAACTCGTTGTGTAAGACGATCCAACAGTCGAACAATGTAATCTAGATGCCATATAATTGCTAGATCAAGCTGATTCCAGCCAGTAGAAATGTGATGAATTGACAATGATGTTACATCTGAGCATTCACTCGATGATGGCGCAGCCACGGACCTTTTACGTTGTATTCCACTCAAATGGTCATCCGTATCGGTGGACTCTTGCAGAAATGCGAAGGATTCCCACAAAGAAGATAACGTATCTTGCTTACCTAGAATCCTGCTGGGCTCGATGGGTGCCTGGGATTTCCTACTTGAATACGTATTAATCCTCGGAGAGAAGGTAGCTGCAGCTTGTTTGGTCTCCAATGACTGAGAAACGTCATTCACAGCTGACTCAACTGCCTACAATAGGTAAATATGTACAATACGGATAAACCTTAAATCCAGAAAATATCGACCCATAAGCGGTACTTAAATGATGAAAAGTGTTGATTGAATAATAAATATCAAAATACAGAACCTTAATTGACTGTCAATGACCAACGTTTCGGTCTTATAGAGACTTAAATTAAACAATGTCCTTTGTTAAACGGTTCCTCATTCGAAGAAACGTAGTTGGAGAAAGTTGATGATAAAATAATTACGATCTCCTGATACCCAACAGTGGCCTCCATCACCATTACATCGTACAGGTCCATAACGCGTACGACGGAATTGAACCTCGCATGGTAGACGTACGATTCAGTCCTGTCGGAGCGTGGGATGTAAGCATATCGGTAATCTGCTGCATCCGGTTGAAAGCAGTGGCATGAATATGGATGCCGATATAAAGGAGCATAAACAAAAATAAGCGTTCATGGTGTACTGAACATTTTACACGCATAGAATATCCAGTATGATTTTTGAAGACAACAAAGATGACTCCAAGAACAGAATTTCTGCTCTTTTAACGAAAAGAGGAAGATTTTAAAAAATTGCAAAAAATATCATATTTACCTGGAGTATTTCCGAGAATACAGAGTGACGTTGTTTGGACTGCGATAGTTTGCGTTGCACCAGGAGTAATTTATCCATTAACTCACTATCTGCGATATTTCCCTGCTCTTTCGGGTAACCACAAAAGTTTTCAGGAGCATCCTAGAATTATACGTTCAAACATTCTGACAATAAAGAGCGAATGACTTACATCATCCCCAAATATACACTGGTCCGGTTGATCATCAATGTCCAGATCAGACGCTGAAAATTCTGTGACATTCCATTTGTTCACTTGAGGTAACGTGATGTGCTCGATAGTTCGTGCACTGTGTTTTTGCATGGCACATTCCTCAAGGTTCTTTCCAAGGCGTTTGATGATAAGAGGAGGATGTGGGTGTGCAAAGATACAAAGTACTTAACATGTGATGGCGCTCAAGTGATGAAAATCTGCAATTTCTCNATTTCTCCACATAAGGGGCAGGAGGAACACATTTTTATCTCGCTACATCGCGAATGCAAATGAGATCTTGTGATTAAACTGAAACGCATATACACTCGATGTACTTCAACGGAGAATGAAAGATTATTATGAAATGTCTCTACCTGGTTAAAGAAGCACAAATGGACAAACTGGAGCGCGTTGAGACATTCAAGCAATAAATGCATCTCAAAGCAGACCGACTCTCTGAAAATAAATAAAGCCCTTGCAGGAACCCCATGAGTTGGAAACAGGTTTCAAGTTTAACCTGAAGGGTGGATTTGCCCTAAATCAGCTCACAAACCTGTGGATGGTAGATTTATCAGCCATCAGTCATGGGCTGATCCAATTAAATTAAACGACATAATTAACGAAACTCCTTTCCTTTACAGTTCTGTGCTTTTACCGAGTACAACAGTCTATACCGAACCCGTCGCTGTCTTAAATTCGTTTCACAGAACACCACCTTCTGACAGCATGACACAATCTAAAATATTTCTCCATCAAGTTGATTTAACTGGTTCCAATGATTTAGGCATTCACGAACCATGTACTTATTACAACTCTCAATTCCCAACACTGTACCGGCTGGCAGGTTGCACGCCGAATAATGTCTTCAAGTTGCTACGAATAACAACATTAGTCAAGTCATGTTAGGCATTAGGGGTGGGTTTTCAGCACTTTTGACAAGTTACAGTTAAGATAGAAGATTTATCAAATGAAAAACAAATGAATGTGATAAAAGGCTAATGTGATTTTCCAAGTAAGTATAAGTATAGTTTTTCCATTTATTTTTGATGTGAGGAAAATAAGGTATGATGCTAATCTGGTATGTGATGTTACCTGCACGGAAAAGATAAAATACGGAACGCGTTCAAGGACGGGAAACAAATTTGTTTATATGAGCATGCAGGCGGTGTTGTGCATTTGACAGTACAGGACTGATAAATCTACCAAGTGTCAAAATGCTTGCAACCAATCTGTGCGACCAAAACTGTATTGAGAACGCTAATGCAACGGGAAAGAGGCTAAAGATATCTGGAAAGCTGTAATCTGCCTGAGAGAATTCAGGGTGTGAAAAATTTAAGAATTACATTTAAGGAAACGGTGAACTTTTTACGTCCAAAGACTTCGAAGGATAATCCATATTAACCATAATGTAAATGTTTTACCATAATTGGTCCAAGAGAGGTTGCGACAAATTAAGTCTAAGATATAAAATGTTGATATTTTTCACTTTCTTTTTTTATTGAATATACAAATGTACAGCCAAATTTAAGGAAAAGCTGCGATCACACAAAGGTTATCTGAGAAAATAGAGAAATGGGAAAGATGGGCAGCGATGGAGGAGTTTGAACCGGGGATTCCCGGCTCAGAATTTGATAACCTAATCACATGGCCACCACCGCATCTCTACCGGAAAGTTCTGTCCGTTTCCATCACAACAAGTTTCGAAACGTAAGCACGTTTATTCGGCGCATGTGTGCATCTTTTTTATCGCTTAGTGTATACATAGTGGCGTAGCAAATTAATACAAGGAAAGTTGATTCACATTAGTATTACGTGTGAAGCGATAGTGTACCTGTTGTATCTGAGATCTGCCTAATCACCTAATCACATCTGCCTCCCGACTGAGGTTAAAGCATTTGTTCAGTATTCTGTCCGTCGTTTGTGTCCAGTCGCTTACTTGTTCAAGGATTAACCACCGTATGTTATACGAATTTAAGCAAGGAAGAAATGTTACGGAAGCATGTAGAAATTTATTGAAAGTGTTTGGTGAAAGCACAGTTTCTAGATAATTCGAAAAATTCGAAACAAGTGATTCCGACCTTCCTGATAAGCCACGTTCTGAGCGAACATCTTTGATCGATGACGATGTTGTTAAGACCATGTTAAAGTAACATCCTTTTCTGGCAACATCAAAGATGGCAGAAACGCCGAATTTAGCTCAACAAATCATGTCGAATCATATTCGGAAGATAGGATTGATGAGGAAATATTCAAGATAGTTGTCACATGAGTTAAGTAAAATAATTTAGATGATCTAGCTGCCATATGCACACCTCTTCTTTTTCGGAACAAAATCGAGCCCTTTATGAACCAATGATTACGGGGATGAAAGTGGATTATCTACGAAAACATCCTAAGGAAAACGGCATGTTGGGAACCCGAAAAACCTAGCGCTTCCACAATATTTGACTTTGAATAAGAGAATGTTCTGCATATGGTGAAACAATCGAGGACCAAAGGAATATGAGCTTTCAAAGCCTAACGAAAAGCTCAATTTGGAGAAACATTGCAACAGTTGGATAATTTAAAGACAGCAATCCAAGAAAAGAGGCCGGCGATTTTGAACAGAAGGAAGATTATACTGCATCCTGATCGTGCAAGGACATACTACTTTAGGGACTCGTCAAACAATTGCAGAACTAGGCTGTGAAATTTTGTCGCATCCACCATATTCCCCAGACTTAGCACCCACCGATTATCACTTGCTTTGTCCCTAGGAAACTCAAAATCGAAGAAGATATCAAACAAGCACTGATTCAATTTTCGCATCAAAAGATAGAACATTTTTCAAAGATGGATAATACATATTGCCCTCACGCTGGCAAGAAATCATTATTAATAATGGCAATTATATTATTGAATAAAGTTTATTGACGGTAAGAAAAATTTGTATTTTGTATTTTTATTCCAAAATAGACAGAAGTTTACGGTAGACCTGATATTTGACAGAGTCAGCTTTGGGAATAATAGTATTGTAAACAGTAAGTTCAGGCTGGTTTATAAAAAGAGTTTCATACTAAGTGTCCGTCTTAAGGCTAAAATTAACATCTTCTCATTTACCGATGTTGAGCATCGGAGATTTTGGGGCAGATCGAATAACAATTTGGTTTAGGGTCTTGAAATTGGTTTTCACTGTCAGGATAGTCGAGGAACAACCAACCAACTCGTTATCAGCGGACATGCACGCGGTAAAGTAGGGAGGGATGAATGGAGATGAAAATCACGCTAAAAACTCCATAGTTTACCCCTAGCAGAAAGAAAGATTTACCGACACAAAAAGTGAGCTGCGTCCTATATGAGACGGAAGTGATTATTACATTCAACGCAACAGGTCCTAGGTCGCAATCCAAAAGGTACAGAATGAGAATGACACAGTCAAGTGATTCAAAAGAAATGACATAATGAATGGAAATTAAACGGAAGATATCAGACCATTTATCCAACGAAGATTAAACAGTGATCAAATACATCAAGAATAGATTACGAACGTTTGTAAGGTGGATAAGGTAACAAACAACAGAGAAGAGGGTCATCCGGGTCAGGAGCACTCTTTCGAGTACAAGCGACTGGGCGGTACTTCGAGAACCCCTTCTCGGGGATGGGTTTTATTCAAACGACTCTCCAGCAATCAGGGATGTTTCCAGATTAATAGCAAACTAAGTTGTTCGGCACAAAATTTCAATAGAAGAAAGCATAATGTATCCAGGCTGATATGTGATGTAAAAATTAGCTGGGTGTTACCAATGCATTATTAAGTCGTTTATTTCTTCAGATTTGTAAGTTGAGACAACCTAGTGAATGACGTTTGGTTGTTTTTCAATGCTTTTTGACTTCCGCCTTCCAAGCGCACCCCTTGAACGACTGGGTTACAATTTTTCACCACCGTTGATTACTGAAATTTATCGACCAAAATTGCTCATTATGCGTTTTCCTCCAAATACACAACAGAATTCACGTAAAAAATAAAGATTTTGTGACGAAAAATTTTAGTGCATTGTTCAGAGTTCCAGTCATTAGTTCATCACAAAAATACTTCAAAGGTGGAAAATACATTCGTGCCGGTTGACGAGCCACTCTTGATAGCAGTACTCCCAGCAAGATGACTGTACTTGCAAATGTATGTGACAACCTCCGTTCTTTCTTTGGGAATTTCCGGATTTATCCTACTGTTCTAGTGAACGGAATTTCGCACCTCTTGTGAGTTAACTCCAGCAGTCATGGCTCAATGACGGTGTGAAAAATTCCGCGATCAAACTGGATAAGATCGTTTGCT